CATGTGGCTGTGTGTATGCGTTTGTGTGGGAATATTGTGCCGCCTATAACCAATTTGTTGAAAGCACATAGGTTTGCAAGTCTCTCCCCATTTTCATTTCTCTCTCCTAGTCCATGTCGTCCAATTACATCTTCATATCCTGTGTTGTCCACTCCAACTTTAGCATTTAGATCTCCCATCAGGATGGTGAGGTCCTTTCGTGAGCACTTTGCTACAATTGATTGCAGCCTTTCATAGAACTGATCTTTATCATCGTCGTTTCTATCATTGGTGGGTGCATAACATTGGATAACATTCATTGTGATCCCTTGCTTCTTTGTTCTGAATGATGCTTTGATTATCCTGGGTCCATGAGATTCCCATCCCACAAGTGCATTTCGTGCTTCTCTGGACAGCATTAGAGCAACTCCCTGAGTGTGTGGAGCATTTTCCTCTTCGTGACCGGACCACAGCAGCATCTCTCCTGTACCTAGCCTTTGTTGTCCAGTTTGTGTCCAATGGGTTTCGCTGATTCCGAGTACTGCCAATTTGTATCTCCTCATTTCCATTGCTATTTGGCTGGTCTTTCCTGTTTCCCACATTGTCCGGACGTTCCATGTACCTATAAAAAGTGTTGCTGTGGTTGTTAGAAGGTGCATCGGTCTCGTGACTTCCGAAGAATTTCGGCTTTCATCATGAGACGTCATTATTCCTTCAACTCCCAGAGCAGAGTTTAAATGGTTTGGATTATTTTTTCTGGTTAGCGTTTTTTTAGCGAGTTAGCTTTTCTACGGGATGGGGTCGCTAACCCCATGCCCAACCCTCCTCCTTTACCCGGGCTTGGGACCGGCAGTAACTCTAGAAGAGCTACTGGCGGAGTTCATATAAAAATATAGTCAAGGTTAATAAGCGAATAATGAACAAGATCAAAATATGACTCATAATGGAAAGGCTAATTGGCTTGACCAGAAGCTAGAATAAAGTATATGGGCTTAACATATAAACTGATACTACATGCTCCAGAGAGGACTTCACCATTCTGATGGGACATCTAAACTGTGAAGTCGGAGTGGGCAACGCAGGATGCGAAGATATAAGCGAACGACATAGACTACGAATAAAAATGAAAATGGGGAGAGATTTCTAAAACTATGTACATTCAACAAATTGGTTATAGGCTGCATAATATTTCCACACAAACACATACACAAAACTACATGGATTTCACCGAACTGCATCACAGAGAACCAGATAGATCGTATAGCAACTCAGATACAATTGAGTTTGTTTGCATCTAATTCAGTTAAGCCCTTTTGTTAACTTATTTAATGGACAGTCATTCATACAATAACAACCCATCTATACCATTGTACTTTTATTATATACGCTTGAACATTGCTCACTGCCTACGCATATATTCATTCCACTAGCATTATTATTAATCGCTTATTTGATCCGATGATTATATATATATATATATATGTACATCTTAATCCTGTTTACTGCTCTTGCCCTGCTTGCTCTCTGCTCTGCTCTGTATTACGCTACACCGTACTGTACATGCTTACTCATTCATCCGGCTCTACGGCACTGCTTTTTCATGTTTGTTTGACGTACTTGTAATATTGGATAACTGTGTGTGGTTCAGTAATAAACGCGATCAATCCTTCGTATTCGTCTTGTGATTTATACATCGTTAGGACGTTGTCGAGTAACGGTTATCAAGACGAACAATATACGAAGCTTAAGGATAATATCGAAAATCGACCACCACAATCGTATTTGTATCACAAAAACATTCCGAAGGACAATGGAAGATGTGAGGACCCGGAGAAGAGCTGACAGTTTTAGATGAACACCTGGTTGTGGTTGCCAAGATGAAACTGAAGCTAAAGAAACACTTGACAACTGGACAAACAGCATTACAAATGTTCAATAGAGCCTTCCTTCTGGACACTAACAAACTCATCGAATTCAAGATAACTCTCAACAACAGGTTCTAGGCTATACAGGATTTACTGAAAGAACAAGAAACTACGATGGAGGACAACTGGAAAGGGATCAATGAGGAACTAACTTCAACGTGTTAGGAGGTTCTGAGTCGCAAGAAGCACCATCATAAGGAATGAATCTCTATGGGAACCCTTGACATGACTGAAGAAAGGAAGAATAAGAAGACAGCAATTAACAGCATTCGAACACGAGCACAGAAAGTCAAGGCAAAAGTAGAGTATGTAGTAGCAATCAGGGAATTGAAGGACAGAATTAAAGCTGACAAGCGGAAATACATGGACGAACTAGCAACGACGGCAGAAAAAGCTGCAAGAGAAGGGAATATGAAATAACTATATGATACAGTGAAGAAACTAGCAGGGTGATATTGTTAACCGGAAAGACCAGTCCAGGACAAGAAAGATAAAAGACAATCACTGAGACGCAAGAAGCACCATCATAAGGAATGAATCTCTATGGGAACCCTTGACATGACTGAAGAAAGGAAGAATAAGAAGACAGCAATTAACAGCATTCGAACACGAGCACAGAAAGTCAAGGCAAAAGTAGAGTACGCAGAAGCAAACAAGGAATTGAAGGAGAGCATTAAGGACAACAAGCAAAATAACATGAGGAAACTAGAAACGATGGCGCAAAAAGGGAGGGGAATATGAAACAACTATATGATAGGACGAAGAAACTAGAATAAAGATATAGTAAATCGGTGAGACCAGTCAAGGGCAAAGTAGAAAAAACAATCACTCAGATCCAGGAACTGAGGAAAAGATGGGTAGAGTACTTCGAATAGACCAGCCCCATTAAATCCACCGGACATCGAATTAGCACTCAATGACCTCCCTTCATCTGTCACTCCACCAACGATCGAAGAATTCAAGATGGGCAACAGACAAATCAAGATAGGAAAAACAGCAGTACCTGACAATATACCAGCTGATGCACTGGAGTCAAACATTGAAGTAACTGCAAACATGCTCCACATTCTATTCAAGAAGATTTGGGAAGAGGAACAAGTACCACCGACGGACTGGAAATAAAGATAACTCATCAAGATACCAAAGAATGTACATCTGAGCATATGTGAGTACTACAGAGGCATCACACTACTGTCAGTACCAGGAAGCGTTTTCAATGGAGTGTTGCTCAACCGGATGAGAAATTCGGTAGACGCATGACTTCGAGATCATCACGTTGGATTCCGTAAGGATCAGTCGTGCACAGACCAAATTACGACACGACGGATCATCGTGTAACTATCAATTTAACTAAACTCTTTACTATACTATACTTCATTGACTATGAGAAGGCGTCTGACAGTGTGGACTAGAGAATATTATGGAAACTTCTTCGACACTATGGAGTTCCTGAGAAAATTGTCAACACTATCCAGAACTCATATGGTGGACTACAGTTCAAAGCCGTGCATAGAGGACAGCTGATAGATGCATTTCCAGTAAAGACTATAGTCAGACAAGGCTGTCTATTCTCCCCCTTCTTCTTTCTTCTGGTGATTGACTGGATTATGAATGCTACGACATCTGAGGGGAAACACGGAATACAAAGGACATCTCAGAGTCAATTAGACGATTCAGACTTCGCAGATCACATAACCCTCCTACCTCATACACACGAATAAATACATACGAAGACAACTAATGTAGCAGAAGTCTCTGCATCAATAGGCCTCGACAAACACAAAGGCGAAGGCAAATACAACAACGAGAACGCCAAGACAATCACACTTGATGACAAAACCCTGGAAGATGTGGAATATTTAACGTGCCTGGGAAGCCCCACTGATGAACAAGAACGATCTGATGAATATGTAAATGCGAGGATTGGAAAAACAAGGACCACATTTCTACAATTGAAGAACACATGGAACTCAAAACAACTCTCAACTAATTTCAAAGTGAGAATCTTCAATACGAACGTCAATACAGTCAGTTCTATTGTACGGAGATGAAACGTGGAGAACTACTATATCCATCGTCGAGAAGGTGCAAGTATTTATATACAGTTGTCTACTCAAAATACTCAACATTCACTGGCTAGATACCATCAGTAACAGCCTTCTATGAGAGAGGATAAATCAGATTCCAACTGAAGAGGAAATTAGGAAAAGACGTTGGAAGTGGATCAGACATACATTAAGAAAATCACCAAACTGCATCATGATGCAAGCCCTAACTTGGAATGATGAAGGGAAGCGGAAAAGCGGAAGGCCAATGAACAAATTAGGCCGGGAAATAGAAGCATATATGAAAAGGATGTTTGTTAACCAGAAAGAATTGGAAAGGATTGCCCAGGACAGGGTTGGATGTAGAATGCTGATGGGCTGTCTATGCTCCACCACGAGGGGTAACAGGAGTAAGTAATTCCAGAATAACCTAAGCCTAATAATGGAAATTTTTCAACATATTATTAAGAATATAGTGTGTTTTTTCTGGTAAAAAAAAGAAAAAAGACGTGGTTTGAATGTTTTCCTCATATTGTAACTGTGACCATATGCATGTGGTTTTATCAATACAAGTGGAAATAATGTATGTCATGTGAAAATTCATGTAAACAGTGAGATGTTTGTGAATATTCGTACGTATGATTTCCAGTTTACGTAGTTTATTCATACACATACATTGATGCAATACAATTTACCATTATGCATACATACATATACATTAATCATATAGCTTATAAAAAAGCATTGTAGCTATAACGTATGAAGCAACAATGTAAGAGGTATTGTTTACGAGTCCAGAAAATAATTAATCAATTATGACAAAGTAAAATGTGTATGTATGTGCTCAATTGCAATTACTATCTATATGTTTATATATTGATCTCATTTCTTTGTTTCTTTGGCAATTCATATAGCTTGTTTAAGTAAGACTAGACTAAGTTATTGTGAAGTTATATATAATTGAACAGTGTAATAAAAGTATAATACTAAATTTTATATCAACTGCAGCTTAATTTTCTAATTATTGATTTCCTTTGATTGTTTTTCCAAGGATATTTTTTAACAGATACATTGCATGCAGTACATATGAAACACTTTGAGATATAGTTATTGTTCATCAAAATAAAATCAATGGTTTCTCACTAATTAACTTAAATTTCCTTTGATGGATACCTAGATAATCATTCTCAGTATAATTATTTGTATTATATTTTTATTTTATGAATGTAACACTTATAAACAATGACATATAGTTCATCTCCAATGCACAGTAATTATAATAGCAGCTTTATCGATAGCGGCTCTATTAACGGAACTTTGTGCAGAACCGGCAGTCTTGGACTTATTGATGAAGCGCTACGTTACGCTGGCACTAAACAATATATATTTTTACAAGTTCACGTCTGTGCAATTCATCAAGTGACTGTACGTAATTCAACAGATTTTCATGAAGCAGATGCTTTATACTATATTGAAAAATATTATAAAAAAAGACGAGCTCATTGTACTGCAGCCTTACTAGAAGATCGAATATGTTTACGACGTGTTAAACAGTCAGGAAAAATGCCATTTCATCCATGGGTTTTATATAATGAAATAAAACATGTGTTCATAAGCCAGAAACGACCTGAATATTTTGTCTTGTATATTGATTCAAATCATGATCAAAGAAAATACTTTGAAATATACAAATGTAAATCAACTGAACATGTTAAACAAATTGAGGAGAAGATAAAAGCGGCAATGAGGGATCCTGACAAGTTACTACGTAAAATGTATTATTTAAATCGTATTAGTTTACCTCCTGGAAATAATGTAAGCCAAAAAAAGTTGGTTCCGGAGATTATGACAGATGTAAGTAAATCAAACGGTGATGAAAATAATAATAATAATAATAATAACAGTAATAATAACAATAATAATAATCATCATAATACTTATAGTAATATTCATGACAATAAAAATAATAATAGTAATAATGGTGGCAGTAGTATTCATAATAAAAGTGGTAATGCTGACAATGAAACTAATCTCAAAAAAGACAAAAGATCTAATAGTTCTTTAAGTCCCGTCACACCAGTCAAAGATTTAACCCTTAAATCAGTGAATGAAAATGTTGTTGTATCTAGTATTTCAATCACTCCCAATGATTTTCTTCATCATTCAACTGAATCATTATTCTATCAAATACAACCAAATGTATACGAACCATCTCAGAATACACGTTCACTATCCCGTTCTATATCATCAGATATTGGAGAAATTCGTCTTGAAACTCGAATTAACCATATAATAGATAAGGTAACATTTATTAATCATGATCCACAAAAAGGGTTTTGTGAAAGTCAGAATGGAAATTTTTATATGTATTTAGACCGTCAAGAATTTCATTTGAATGAGTCTATTAGTAGAGAAGAGAGTTTCATTATATCTAATCAAAAAGATAATAACTCAACATTACCAATTATTATTATTAGACAATCCTAAATATATTTGTTTATCACTTTCTCTTCTTGTAATCATCATAAATGTTACAATCATAGTACCTTATTCATACTTGATAAATTTTGATACAATGTTCATCTATACACAAATTAACTTGTCCTTTCATTAAAACAAAATGAAGTATTTAAAGTACATTGAATGTTATAAATAAATAAATTTATTTGTAATACTCCAATGAGTAGAAAAATTAGATTTTCTGACGTTGCGTAACTCCGTGTAAGCCACTTCTTCAGACAATAAATAGTCTCTGAAGAAGTGGCTTACACGGAGTTACGAAACGTCAGAAAATCTAATTTTTCTACTCATTGAGTTATTACAAATATATTATTCTTATTTATAACAATCTACTCAATGCTCAATTTATTCAAAATTACATTGAATGTTGTTCTTTTATGTGATAGAATGGACAATTGTTTGAATAAAATAAAGGTACACTGTACAAATCAAGAACTATTTATTAAAAAACAAACAATTCAAATACTAACATAAGTAAGATTTTCATCAACTGAATAGTGTCCTATCAACAACTGTAGCATTTCAATGTAAATTGAACTACTTTTTTTTTAGGATACATCCATATTTATTATTCAGAAATGTAATGTATATTGTGTGAATCATTTTGTCATTTTGTAATTAAAGTGAATTGTATATTATTTCGTTAGTTATTTGTATATACTGGTAAAGGGATTAACTATAACTGACATTGTTCTATGAAGATTTATAAGTAAGTATAGAGTTATTAGCATCATACTTAAGCTTGCTACCTCTCACGGAAAAGCATAGGGCGCTCATTAGCATTCTCCATACAAGCCTGTTCTAGGCATATTAGCATCAGATAGACAAATATTGTTTTTTTATTATTATATCAACATTCTATAATATAAATTTTATTCACACAACAAAGCTCACTTATTAAGTTGGTATTGTATGTTTGAATCTTCCCATTAATGTTTAGGACTGCAATTGATCAGATCTGAGTGGATAACTAGATGGTGTTTGAAGTGGAAGGTACTGAGTTCCAGTCCCAGAGTGAACATCAACTCTGAGATGCAAGTACATCCAGCTGATGAGTCCGAAATAAGACAAGACTCTCATCCTGTGTTTCACTGCTATTCACTATCCATATTTGCTTATAAATCTCACTTATATTGTTAATTAAGGAAAAGTTATAACTAGAATAAACATGTTTAGATTGACTACATAAGATCGGATCAACAAGTAAATCCATAGTTTGTAATTCAATAGGAATCATTGAAATATACTATAGATGATCTGTTAAAAATAACGTTAAATTTTACGAAACTGCCTTCGATGAATAGTCGGGACCCTAGAAGTCGTTTGACCACAAAAAATAAGCTGTTAGAGGATCAATTATATTTTCCTCAAACTTTTATTGAAAGAGAACTAGTTTGGAATACGCTTTAATTGCTTCGAGCAACAGTTGTGAAGTATTTTGTACTGGTTTATTAGATTTTATTATTCTCAAATTAAATACTTCTGAATACAGATGGATTAAAAGCAGGAAAATTGTTCACTTTTACAATGAACAACAGGACAAATATTCTATGCTCGATCTGATGAAATAAAATGTAAATAATTCTCGCGATATCAGACAATGAACAAAAACAGATTTTAATATGATAACAGTTTTCAAACTACATTTTTCGGATCATTGTAGTTAATTGAAAGAAGAACTGATTTTTCTGTTGCACTTTTTAAACTGCAATAACAATTTTTGAACAGAAAAGTTACGGTCACCAGTTAAAATGCATCTGTTTAAACAGTATCATGGTAGTTGGAATTTTTTTTGACATTTTCGATAAAATGTTTGTTGATTCAACTGTAACAGTGACGACAAAACTATTTTCAGTTAATTTTGTTGTAACCTACCCATTTGCAAGTCAGCTATGGTACGGTGCCAAATACAAGTGAAGAAATACATTATGAAATCAAACCAGATTTTCCTTTCTTATTGCAAATAAAACCGAAACAATCCTCTTCAAAATGAAACCATAAATTACCCTTTTACAGATTCATTCTATTCAGAGAGTCAGTAATGAGTAATTGAATTACGATTTCAAGGTTATTGAATATAGATTTCAAGATATCGTATTTTACTAGGCATATGAACAGAGTTTTTGGTTTAGCATGATATCTTGTCCATAGACAAAATTTCAGTGTTCTTTACACCAACATCTGGGTTATTTGTCAACTACGGGCGTTTCCTGTTAATACTAGACGTAATATTGTAATACTAACTATTATTGATAACCGAGTTCAAATATGTTGGGATGACCCTGTAATTTTCTCGCAAGCGACATGACAAGCTCGTGAGTCATCAAGGAGCATTTCAACCAATCAGCGATTAATTAGAAGTTATGTGAAGTTATGGTACTAAAATAACGAGAATGAAAAAGTCACATGTGGAGATCCTGTTTGGCTGATTGACACACTGCTACTATGTTTAGAAGTATTCTAGAATTTTTGGTAAAAATCAAGGACTCTTAAATTACTATAAAATCCCTGTATTTTCTGTACATAAATGAACCCTGTAGTAAAGTGCTTCTCCCGTACTTTGTGCCTTTTCTCTGGTCTTCAAGTCGCTGTTTAGTTCTAGCTCGGGGGGTACGGAACTAGCTTAGGGAAGCGAATATAGCGTTCACAATCGGCCAGACGTAACAAAATATGACATAAATTTTCTGTCAGATAACTGTCAATAAGCCTTAAAATCTTGAATACATATAATTTATCAATAAATGTTTCGTCGTTATTGCACGTTACAGTAGAATAATTTAGCCTCTCATACTATATAGGTCAGTACAATTTACCGACACTACTTATTTAAGACCCTGAGTAACAATATACAAAACTTTCGGATTACTAACAGAGATAAATGGTAAAAGGATACGCACAGTAGCCATTGTTATGTCTCATGTGTTATAGCAAAATCAAATAACTAAAATCATGGAATGAGTTATTCACTCTTTTTTTTCCAAAACTTGAATATTCTGAAAACATGAACAGCAAATCGACGATTCAAATTTCAAAAGTAACACTTTTTATAATGAACAACAACCGAAATCTCTGTACTTTAACTAAAAACGACCTAACATTATGGTTAAAAAATGTTTTCATCACAGCCTTTATATCCAGGAGAATAGCGTGATGGAAACCTATTTAAGCTGGTGAAGATAATATTCGGTAAATATTTTAACCTTCTACATAGTCTTAGTTATTATGCCTTCGTTCCACTTAATTCAGGTAACTAGATTTTCAACAAATAAAAATGAGTCAATCTCACTTAATATGTTTGTTCGAATAAAGTGTTTTGTTTACAGTAATTTTCTTATTGAAACATTCATTTCAGTTCAAACATTTTTTAAAATTTATGTTTAAATATCCCACTTCGTGTGGACATTGGTTAATCAATGAGTATTATAGAATGTCTGCATTTTCCTTAACGTTGGTTGGATCTTATCGATCAAGTTCTAGTGCAGTCAGTAGTTTGGAGATCGATCTAAATATGTCAAAGTCACTCATAAACATTATTTGGCATGATACCGAAAATATTTAGTGTATATTCTAATGGTGAAACTTTTATTATTCTGACAATTTCTGTTAAGCTTATTATATTAACAATAACCACAATGTCCATTTAGTATTGTTTGTTTGAATCTTCCCATCGATGTGTTAGGATTGCAACTGGTCAGTCTCTAATTGGCATATGTGCATACTCTGCGTATTCCTTCGATATAGCCCTAATTCACAAGCATTGTAAGCAAAGATGGATAGTGGCTAGCAGTGGCCGAATGGATAAAGCGATGGCGTTTGAAGTGAAAGGTACTAGGTTCGAGTCCCAGAGTGAACATCAACTCTGAAATGCCGGTACGTCCATCTGGTGAGTCCCAAGTAGGACGAAACGCGAGTCGCGGATTCGATTGCTAGCCACTATCCATCTTTGCTTACAATAACCACAATGGTTGTAAGTTTTTAAACACGATACATCAAATTTACAGTTTCTAATTGTTATTTGTAATCTAAAACACTGTTAGTATTTGATACTTTATTGATTACTTATTTTAATATACCAGGAAAGTCTTTATTATGATTTCGACTAGCAAGAGAATAAGTCACAAAACAAATTATTATGCAGTCTAGTGAATGCTTTACATTTCAATCTTAAAGTTAATTCCAAAGTTATTTATGAATTATTTAAAACATTCATTTGACAGTAAAATAACAATTACTGGATTCTGTATATCTCTTTAAAGTAAAGTATTTCATTATTTGAATTCGAACATAATTCTCTGTATGATTAGGTAAGTAGTTAGCCACCAAGATAAGGTATCTCAATTTATGTGACATTTTTTATAACCACCATTCTGACAATCTAAATTATTTTTCTTATACCTTTGACGACTGGGTATAAGACAGGTATATCCAAGAACTATGGATGACCATTGATGAGTTAGATAACTACATCATAATAGTAAATCTAATAATATGGATTATTAAGTATAGCCATTAGATAATCCCCTATATTCTCGACTTTATTGGGATTCAATGTTTAACTTACTAACCATTGTTGACTATAGATGATCTTAAACGTTACAATGAATTTATTAAATTGAGTATTATCCTAATATCTGTCCAAAATTGCTTAGACTTTGACTATTGAATGTAATCGATATTATGAGGCACCTTGACTACATTAACACAAAAACACATACACCCACTAATCTTCCAGATAGCTATCATGTCAGTCTTAAGCAAACCTAAAGAAATGTGTAGAAGGAATTTAATTTACTAAAATGGTCATTCAATCGTAAAAAGATTGATCAATAGTACGTTTAAAATTATGCCATTAATCGATTGTCGATTATTGTCATCGCTTACGTCATATTGCTACTACTACTACTACTGTGGTGTTGTCTACTTATATCTATATAAGTAGTACATGGTGTGGGTCAGACATAGAATGTATTTTGGCAGAAGACCGATGAGGAAAGAACTGAAATGAAGCGCAATCGTTTGGAAAATGCATGAGCAATGGAATAAGAGAAGAAACAGTGAAGATTGAAACAATTGGTTGTTAATTTGCAAATTGATTGTTCATTGTTTGGTAATCAGAATTTACCGAGATAGTCTGTAATGTTTGCTTAAGTACATCTGATTGTCCCCAACCAGTGTTCTG